TGTTTTCTTGTCTCTTCCCCCTCTTCATCTGTGTACATACATTTTGATTGCGTCTCCGGGCGGTTTGCCCGTTCTTATTTTCGTTTCGGCTTTCTGAAATGTGGGCTTGGGTTTTTGCTCACGTTTGTCCTTGCGATGTCCGTCCTGCTTGCATTATGTGTATGATTGCCGAATGTATGGATGTTATGACTGCTTGTCTATCTTTTTGCTGAGAATCCCTATCCTTGCGTTATGTCTATGTCGAATTTTTTGCCTACACCTGATGTCGCTGTAGATGGGATAGGAATCTGACCTCGATAGTGGGTCTGTTCTCGTTTTTGCTTATCCCGGGATGGGGGTTGTGATATGATTGCAACTTGCATAATCGACGATTCGAAGTCTGGCCCCGCGAACGCCGCGCAAGAACACATGTAAACGCGATCCGAGTCGCGCCCTTACACGCATTCCCGTGCGTCGATTCGATCACCCAAAAAAGGATTCGCGGCGGAACCATCATCCCATACGAGCACGTTGAGGCGCCACTAAGTCTGCCTGCCCTACACGTGCTCGTGCGCGGTGACGATAGGCCGACCCGCGCTATCCCACCGACGATGATACCATGACGTGATCTTGGGGCTCAGACTCATCCTATGACCCAGACTATTTCACCCCTATAATAAACGAGTTCATAAGGACACGATACCCCTGTCACACGGAGAATCGGCTATGTCCGCGGGAATTCCACTGTGCCACCTCTAGCGACCCTCGGTGCTCCGATTTCTCTTCTCCCGACCACACCTACTACTTCACCCACCCGGGATTCGTTGAGATCACCACCAGTTTCCCTCCTTTCTGCCTCCTTCTCCCGTATCATCAACTCAGTGTCGTTCCGTGGCCGGCCATAGCCCCCTATTGGCCCAATACGTTTTGCGTGAACTGTCGACGCAGCGGCGCACAGAGCACTCCGAAATTCCGAAGGCCCAACTCAGGTATGCGGCGGCCTGCGCCACGCGGCAGCCTCCGACGGCCTAACTTTTCAGGACCATCTCCACCACGGAGGAATTTTCTCGTAACCCGTCGCCCACAGTGTCCCGGTCCCTTCGGACTATGAGACCCTTGCGCGTGCACCCCTCGTTCGCCTAATTGCATTCATACCCTTAAGACTCCCCCCACTTCCCCCAAAAATCCTTGGCACACCCCTTTTCGGACTGTCAGGCCCACACTCCACTCCGATCAGGAAGTCGCGCTGGGCGTGAGGTTGGTATCGGAGCCCGACACGTGGCTAGGGTCTTAGGATCGATAGCACGCTAATTAGGTGACCTGGCTAACCGTGGGCGACCTCGCCCCCGGAACGCGCATAGACGCGACCCTATTGTTACCCGAAGCAGATCGGCTAACCGACGAGCAGCCAACATGGCTGCCAATGTGCAGAACCCGGTTCAACAACAAAATGCTAACCCAAATCAACCCGCCCCACGTGCACGAGCTCCCATGACGCCACCTGATCTCTATTTGTTTGATCCCGCACACCATCTCGCAGGAGCATGGCTGGCCACACTTAGAGCCCAATAGTACACTGACAACGAAGCACAGATCAACATTCCGGTTCGAATGGGAGGAGACACTCATCATTGGTTTAGTACCTATGTATGGGTGGATCTCCCGACCTTCGAGCGGGACTTTATGAACCGATTTGATTATGTCCACCCTGAGCAGGCGCTGTACATGATCAAGGACCGAGTGCAGAAACCGCTCGAATCCGTCGCGGAATATCGAAATCGGTTCTACAGAATGTTCGTAAAAACTGAGCGAGGGGAGCAAGTAGGGAGAGATCTGTTCATCGACGGGCTCCGCAACCGAACAATCAGGGTTAAGTTGCGAAAGCAATTTTCCCCCATCACTCATACGCTGCAACAAATTATGGCTGCTGCGGAAGAAATGGAATGGAAGTTCGCGGTGAACTTCCTGGAGGGAGAAGACTAGCCTAGAGACGGAGATTCGACCGAGCTCGCCCGAGCAAGAGCAGAGCTGGCCGCTTTACAGAACAAATTTGAAAACATGGGGTTTGTATCAGGACCTGTCACCTATATGGAACAGATAGGCCCCAAACGAGTAATCCTAAGTGAGACTCCGAGCATCTCTGCTCCTATGATGCCCCCGCCCGTCGGGGCATTACCCCCACCGCCGGTTGAGGCTCCTGTACGATCAAACGAATCAGCGGCCATTTTCGAACTAACCAAAACCTTGATTAGCTTGATCCAGGAAAGCAAAAAGGAGCAGCGAGAGCACAATGCTCGGCAGGAAGCCATGATGAGGAACATGCGGCCCATTGCGGTACGCGCCCCTCCAATGCAGCAAGGATTAGCCTCGACACCTGCGCTTGGAGGAGTCGCAAACAATCTGAATGTTTGTTATGCTTGTCATCAGCCCGGACATCTAGCCCGTGATTGCCCCCACCGACCCCCACAACAGCGGATCGGAGCCGCACCTATGGCTGTTGCTCCCATCGCCAACAGACCAGGACGAGTCGGAGCCCTGATGGAAGAAATAGAGGGTGGGGGAAGTGCCCTGGCTACCTCGGAAGAGGCCGCCGAGCTAATCCCGCTAGACCAATACGTATCGCTAGGGTATCCTGGGCTTGGAATGATCGGAACAATCCGACCAGCACCAGAACTGAAAGAGGTGGCGGAGTGGCGACCGTCCCTAGGAGAAATGGAGTCGGGAGGACCCACCTTCGTCACAGGGGAGATCGATGTATTAAACATCATCCGAGCTTTGGACCATCGGATTCCCCTTCCGATTAGTCATTTGCTCTCGATCTCCGAACAGGCCAACGAGCGAATGTTACAGCATTGCAAAGCGAACCGAAAGCGATTCACCCTTGCCCGGACCCCGAACGCGAAAGCCAAAAGCCCCGCGCCCGAAGAAAACCCCACAAGTACTTCAGATCCGATACGGTTAGGTTTAATCCAGAAAGATGATCATTTCGTGCGGATTAAACCAATTCCGTGGAAATCCGCCGAGTGTGATATAGAAATTTGGGGAATCCTTACAATGCTATTATAGATTCGGGAGCGGTTGTGTTGGCTATCTCACTGACAGTGGTCGAAAGGGCAGGCAGGAAAAACGACTTGATCACGCTTTCTGAGAACGATCAGCTGACGAAGAAAGAATTAAAACCGTGGGAAGAATGACCAATGTCGCTTTCCGATTAGGTAAAGTGCATGCGCTTGGGGATGTCGTAGTACTAGATGTCAATACGTACGACGTTCTCCTTGGACTTCCCGCTCTTGTAGCGCTACGAGCAAACCTGGACTTCGAACGATGATCGATCGTCCTCCGAAATACCGGAGGAAAACCCTACGCGGTGCCCATGCGATTGACCCTTCGCACTACTATTAACACGGTTCTGCGAGTTTCGCCGATGATGGCAGGGACTCTCTGCATGATCTCTTGGGAGAAATCCGCAGGAGGAGAGTCATCAACAGACGATGTGGAAAGCAGTGACGAGAATGATCCGGATATCTTGAAATTAGCACGACAACGTGTTTGTTACCCACCACCCAAAACGATAGCAAGAACGATGCAACTAACCAGCCGAAAAATTCAAAGGACCAAGGCGATGATCTCGGGTGAGCCCCTCGTGCAGATTTTGAGGATGGTCGATTCTTTGGAACCCCCGCAAACTCTGTATGAAGGAATCACCCCTCTCCTCGCCCGGTACAACGACAAGAAGCATTACTGTGACATTACGGATCTACCCAAGTCCTTACTAACTTCGGCTAAAGAAGTGAGATTGTTACACTTGGGGGCGGAAGCAAGCTCTCTGGAACCCCTTGGGCATTTTGAAGCAGAAACAGACGGACTGGGGATAAAGATCGCAACTAAGGAAGTGTCATGGCAGGATGTTTGTGACGGGATTACCCCGGAAGGACACGTGGCAATCCGAGAAGAAGATGCTCAGATGATGGCCACGGTGTTCTCCTGGCGATCAGATCATTCATTCATCTCGGCGCCTCCATCCGACTTGTCAAAACAGGCGAACACGAAACAAATTGACGTTCGGATCTGGGACCAACTTTTTGAATTGCACGTTCCACAATATGTGCCGGATGAAATCCACCGGGTAATTGCGGATATTCTAACGGAATACCGAGGAGCGATTAGTGTGTCAGACACTGACATTGGGTTGTCATTAGTAATCCAACATGAAATTCAGACAGAAAATCGCACCCCGATTCATTGCAAACCTTATCGCTATTCCTTGATTGAACGCAAAAAGGCTCTCGAACGAATTCGGGAGTTCGAAGCCAGCGGCTGGATTGAACCCGCTACCGGACCTTGGTCCTTTCCTGTAGTGTTAGTACCGAAGAAGAACGGGGCGATACACATTTGCATTGATTATCGCAAGCTGAACGAAATCACGATCAAAGATGTGTATCCCCTCCCCCGGATTGATGATCTGTTGGATGCGATTGGATGGGCTAATTATTTCAGCAAGTTTGATATTCGGCATGGCTTCCATCATATTCTAGTAAGGGAAGAAGATCGGCCGAAAACGGCCTTTGTGTTGTTTGAGGGTACGTGGCAGTGGGTTCGGTGTCCGATGGGGATTTGCAATGCCTCTGCTGCGTTTCAACGAGCGATGAACATGACGTTCCAGAACTTCGTCAACAAGACACTGCTGACGCAAGGAATGATTAACTTCTGCGTGATCGTGTACATGGACGACATCCTGGTCTATTCGGAAACCTATCACGGACACACGCAACACATCAAATAGACATTGAGTGCATTGAGAGATGCTGGGTTCAAGATTGCGCTTAAGAAGAGCGAATTTTTCCTTTCGGAAATTTCGTTATTGGGCTATATCGTGACACGTGGAGGATTGCGGCCAGATTCCATAAAAGTTGCGGCGGTGAAGGAAGCTCCGATTCCTACGCCACTGACGCAGGTTCGAGCCTTCTTGGGACTAGCGTCGTACTATCGGCGCTTCATCAAGGGCTTCGCCGCGATTGCACGACCACTAACGAATCTGCTACGGAAGGACCAGCCTCTCAGTTGGGACGCGGAGTGCCAGCATGCCTTTGCAACCCTCAAGGACGCTCTGGCGACGGCCCCTATTTTGATTCGATCGGACCCCTCGAAGCAGTTCATTCTCATCACGGACAGGCAACCGGAAGCTATTTCCGCTATTCTAGCACAGAGGGGGAACGATGGTCGCGAACACATCATCGAGTATGCATCACGAGCCGTACCGGACGAACGAAGAAACAACTCCGCACCTCAGGGTGAGTGTTATGTGGTAGTTTGGGGAATCCAACACGTCCATCCGTACCTTTACGGACAGAAGTTTCGCCTTGTAACGGATCACGAGCCTCTGCTGGCGCTGAAGGAACTCACCAATTACACGGGCATGATTGGTCGCTGGGCGGTGCGACTACAAGAATACGACTTCAATATCGTCCATTGAAAGACAGAGCGACACGGCAACGCGGACGGGCTGACACGTCTGCATCGACCTGCCAAGGTACCAAAAGGCGAGGAAATTACCCCGTGGAAGGAGTCGGGCCTGACTAACGAACCGAAGTACGGACAAGTGGCAGTTCTCCCACGTGGCAAGAAGCAAAACGGTGGCGATGGGTGATGGAGGTAACCCCACTACCCCTCTTTCTCCCCATTCCTCCTCATCTCTCCCCTCCCTGCCTGACAAATTTTGCTATTTTTGCGAAGCCATCTCCCGCGTCTATTCGGTCTCCATGCGTCCTAACGGTGCGGGATATGCGAATTGGATAGATTGCCGACAGTGTGTTGCACGGGCCCACGGCTCGTGCATCCAATACCGGAACGATAGTAAACCATGGTTGTGCCCCTTGTGCCGGACCGACAAAATTCCGACCGAGACTCGCTTTTTGGATGCCACGTAAGAAGGATTGGAAAAAAACCGAAAGTTTAGAAGGGCCGAAGTATGGACGGATATTGCCTTAATTGCCACCCTAGTAGGACGCCCTCTAAGATTTCACCAAGGAAGATCGAAGGAGGGCCAACGAAAGGGCTCGTGACTATCGATGGGTAGAAGGTAGATTAGAAAAACAGAAAACGAACGGTAGTGGGATTTGGATGTTAGTGCCACATCCGTTCATGCGGTATGGCTGGGTTAAGACAGCCCACGAAAAAATTGCGGCTCATTTGGCTGTACGAATCACGGAGTCCGCTATCGACAAAAATGAGTGGTATTGGTCCAATATTCGCGACGATGTGAAGTACATCGTTGCCACCTGTCAAGTCTGCGCCGTTGATAAAGCGCCGATTCAGCCACCAAGGTCGATAGTGCCCACGGTTGTTGAACGGCCATTTCAGAGAGTAAGCATGGACACTACCGACATAGCGGTGCCCCTTGGCCCTAATAGTTGCGAGTATTCAGTCCTACTGGTATTTGTCGACCATTTCTCGAAATGGATCGAAGCGTATCTTTGTCGCACGCGGCAAGCCACAAAAATCGCGCGATACGTCAACCGTTTCCTCAGAATGCATCAGGACACCAAAGAGATCCTGATCGACAACGGGGCTGAATTTAGGGGAGAACTGTTAAGGAATCTGGTCCTACATGGCGTCGCCATACGAAACACTGCACCCCACATGTCGCAATCTAATGGGCTGGTCGAAAACGCTAACCGGGTGATAAAAACAGCATTGCGACGAAACATCGCGGCACGAGATCCGAGACCCTGGCCCGATATCGTCGATCACATCCTAGCGGTCCATCGCGGAACGCCCCACGAATCGACGGGGTTGAGCCCCTTCCAATTAAGGACCAATAGTGTCGCTTGCGTTTCGATACCAAGCCTCCCGGATGAGTCTACATTGAACCGACGGCCCACCAGGGCCACGGGTCGGGACAAGGCCAAACGGCACCTAGAGTTAATGGAACGGTCGCTGCCCAGGCTTAGCCCGAAAGCGAAAGAAAATGACCGAACTAGCCCAGGGCCGACAGGTGCGAAGCTACGAGGCCCGAAATGGGAATGCGGGTCCGCGGCCCCAGTACAAATTGGGGGACATAGTGCAAGTGAGGAAATGTGCTCGCCAGGGTAAGCTAGGGCCACGATTCTTCGGGCGATACCGCGTGATTGAGCTCGGTCCCAACAGCGTGGACACTGTGCGTCTCGCCCCTGAAGTCTCGACAGTCGATCGGCGCGCCAGAATCACCCGCCACGTATCCTATCTTTGCCTCCTCCCCTCTGCTCCCTCCCCTTCTCCCTCGATCTCCCATTCCGAGGAAGCCGAAGACGACGGCTCTGACTCTCCGCCATCTGCCTCTTCCTCTTGCTCCCCATCTGCCTCCCCGTCACCTTCGCCATCACCATGAGTTTTCTGGAGGAAAGAGCCCTCAGCGCAGCATCACTTGCTCCCCGTGATCGGTTGACGATCCGGCAAGTCCATCATCCCCGCCTCAGTCCAGACCTTCGGAGGCTTGCTCACTTCTTCTGCACGGAAGGCGTGTATGCAGCGGCGGTATTCAGAATCGAAGGCCGGCCTGACGCGGTGGTACTAACCGAGGCGGTAGCAGTTCATCATTGGGCGATGCCAGGTGTCAGTCGCATATCGGTCGTCATCAACTTCAGTGGCGATCTCTCCACACTTCTTCCTTTGCGACATTCGACAGTGAAGGCGTCGCTGCACGAGTGGGCGAACGATCTGGTCGCCGAGTGGACTCAGCTGCTGGCTCGTCCCGGAGATACAGTCGCAACGACACTAGCGATCGAGTACGACGGCCTTCGGATGTATCAACGCGAGCCGCCAGCAGACATCCCTATCCTCGTTCCCTTCCCACGTCCCCAATGAGTCTCTCTCCGATCTCCGTTTTTGATCTCCCCTCCATCTTTCCCACCTTCTGGCAGTCCGATATCCATCCTCACCTTTCCTACTGTCTAAAGCCCCTCGCTGTCCCCGATATCCATCCTCCCCATTGGGTCCTGTGGCGCGAAGACTTCATCGAGCTTTCACTGTGTCTGGTGGAAGTACGACTGGCGTGGATCGAGGACGAAGCGCACCCAACTTGCATAGAGCGCCTGGAGTTGCTGTTCATCCAGGCCTGGCGAACCAACGTGGAGGGAGAGCTTCTCGCGTTTCTATTGAGTACGGTGCGGCCCGGTCACCAGGATCTCATCACGAAAGAGCTCACGATCCCAGTAGCACAGCTGGCGGACGATCTCCCTCTTGACATCATCTCGCAAGACGACGAGCATCCAGTTCCCCACGTGCTTTCTCACACATTGACGCCTTATCTTCAGTGGTCGGCTTGCGTAGAAGGAGCCGCAGAGCGCATCCCGCCGTCGCAGCAACAATACCTGGATCCCCGGACGGCTCGCGATCCTGCCTTCTTCAGGCATCCTACGGCGGAGCAGCTTGCAGCCATTCGAGAAGAAGAGGAGGAGGAGGAGAGTACCGGGAGTGACAAAGACGAAGAGCTCGGGGAAGAAGACGAAACCCCAGAAGAAGGAAGCTATAGCGAGCATAGCGAGGGGGAACAGAGCGAAGAAGAAGAAGAAAGCGAGGAAGGAGAAGAGGAGCACGACAAAGAGCCTGCTGGATCGGAGTGGGAAGTCGTGCCAGAAGAAGCGCTGCGTACGGGTACGGAGGCTGAGGATTCGGAGGCGGGCCGCAAAAGAGAAGAGATCGCGGCCGGGAAGGAGTTAGAGCTCGCAAGCGCGGAGAGTCTGCAGATTCACGATGATCCGAACTGAGATCCTGAGCCACCCTGGCCTGAAGATGGCGACCTCGCGGCCACGACTCTGACCCCATCAGCGCGGCGACGGAGCCGATCCCCCTCCTCCTCAACCCGTCCCCCAGTTTGCCGACGTACCGATACGGGCGATCGGTCTTCGTCCCCGATCACTCTCTCCCCGTCCCCTTGGCTACCTCACCCTCCGCCCGCTCACCACCCCCATCACGTTCCCCTCCAATCCATTTCCCCGCGCCACCTTTCGCCACTTCTACGCTGCTTGCCTCGCTATAGTGGTGCACCGCCACCCCTCCATTCGATGCGCCGTCCCAGCCTTCTGCCTCCATGTCCTACTCCTTAGTGCCGCGTGGCGAGGCCACAACATGATCGAGGTCTACTGCGTGGTAACGGGGACCATCCCCGCGTGCGATGATCGCGATCGTTTCCGCGCGGCACTCTTCCGAACTCTCACCACCCTCTATCCTGATTACCTCATATCCCTCTCTCGCACGGGCAATCACTTCCCCCGCTTTCACCGCATTGTTCGCTACCAAGAGCTTCCGGAGACTGTAGCCGTAATGGAAAGCTTTCTGCCCCCGCTACCCACAAACCCTCCACCCCGCCATGCTGCCATGCACCGACTCCCCTTCCCCCTTCCAGTTAATTACTGATGCAGCGGTAATGGACGCGTGTCGCGGCAACGACACGAGAAAGATCCCGTCCTTGGATCGTCGAAGAGCCCAATCTGAGGAACTAGTAGAAGAGCAGAGTCGCCATGTTGGATGACGTCCACACGCAATCGAACGGTAAGTGGCATACAAAGAATTGCTTCGCGTGTCGATCAATTAGAGAAATCGACACGTGTCAACAAGCAAGCAGGAACTTGCTAATATTGGAACCCCCTGGGCGTCACGTATGTGACGAACCACTTTCTGTAACGCGCGATTTTCTGCGCGGTTGCAATGAGGGGTCCTAAGCTGGGAAGATTGGGCTAATTACGGGAGATCGGGATCGGTGGAAAATTGCATTAATGTCCTCGTTTTTTCGTCCTCTTTCGTCGTTTCTTTTTCGAATGACCGGGCACGGGGTCAGGTGTGTCTTGGGGCGGCCGGTTGAGTGATTGGTCAGATGGTTGTCTGGCGCGCCGCCACGCGCGTGCGCAATTAATAAATATTGACGTCGTTTCTTTCGGCTCGGTTTCGATCTTTTGGGGCACGGACATCGCGCGGGAAATTGCTTCGTTCTTTTTGAATTTCCTTTTAAATCTTTTTCGAATTTTGTCGAGCCCCTGATGACTCTCGGAATTTCGGACTTTCCTTCTGGAACACGTGCTTCTTTTTGCTTTTTCGCAGTAGATAGGAATTTAGAAATTTAGTAATTAGGATTTTTCTTGCCGCACGGCGCCTTTTGTTTACGCGCTTCTTCATGCGGCTGTAACGGCACTCTGATTAGTGGGCGCCCTTAATCGTATGTGTAACTGTAATTTTGGGCGGGCGCCATTGTAACTGTATCTCTCTTCTTGCACTTTGTCTCTCCCGCCCTCCCTCTCTTTCTTTTGCTGAAATTTTGTAAGCCGCGGCTTGCATGCTTGGATCGATGCGTGGAGAAGGGTTACGTCCCCCACGCCGCGGCCGATCATGCAGAACGCAGGCGTTCCCTCTCTAATCCTCACTCTAAGTCCTGGTAATTCCGTGTTCTTCGCGCATGCATGCACGCTATAAATCTTGGCTGCGCGATTAATCAGCTCTCTTAACCCATTGTTGGAAGCTCGGGGTTGCGCAATCAGGAAGGGTCGGCACACGAGCGAAGTAAGAGGTGAGTAGAGCAGGAGTTGCGCGACCCGACGGGCTGGTGCCGAACGCGCGGGATTGACGTGGGCCATGACGGAATGTGGGCACGGGCGAATCCGACAGGTGTGGGAGGGCTAAGCGGGGTGACAACTTCGTGGGTTGGTGGGTGACGACGGACTGTCCGCATCGGAGAGAGAGAGAGCGAGAGAAGAAGAGAGTTGAGGTCAATGGACGCGGATTTGCTGTTTTCTTGTCTCTTCCCCCTCTTCATCTGTGTACATACATTTTGATTGCGTCTCCGGGCGGTTTGCCCGTTCTTATTTTCGTTTCGGCTTTCTAAAATCTGGGCTTGGGTTTTTGCTCACATTTGTCCTTGTGATGTCCGTCCTGCTTGCATTATGTGTATGATTGCCGAATGGATGGATGTTATGACTGCTTGTCTATCTTTTTGCTGAGAATCCCTGTCCTTGCGTTATGTTTATGTCGAATCCTTTGCCTACACCTGATGTCATTGTAGATGGGATAGGAATCTGGCCCCGATAGTGGGTTTGTTCTCGTTTTTGCTTATCCCGCGATGGGGGTTGTGATATGATTGCAACTTGCATAATCGACGATCCGAAGTCTGGCCCCGCGAACGCCGCGCGAGAACAGGTGTAAACGCGATCCGATTCGCGCCCTTACACGCATTCCCGTGCGTCGATTCGATCACCCAAAAAAGGATTCGGGCGGAACCATCATCCCGTACGAGCACGTTGAGGCGCCAGTAAGTCTGCCTGCCCTACACGTGCTCGTGCGCGGTGACGATAGGCCGACCCGCGCTATCCCACCGACGATGATACAGTGACGCGATCTTGGGGCTCAGACTCATCCTATGACCCAGACTATTTCACCCCTATAATAAACGAGCTCATAAGGACACGATACCCCTGTCACACGGAGAATTGGCTATGTCCGCGGAAATTCCACTGTGCCACCTCTAGCGACCCTCGGTGCTCCGATTTCCCTTCTCCCGACCACACCTACTACTTCACCCACCCCGGATTCGTTGAGATCACCACCAGTTTCCCTCCTTTCTGCCTCCTTCTCCCGTATCATCAACTCAGTGTCGTTCCGTGGCCGGCCATAGCCCCCTATTGGCCCAATACGTTTTGCGTGAACTGCCGACGCAGCGGCGCATAGAGCACTCCGGAATTCCGAAGGCCCAACTCAGGTACTCGGCGGCCTCCGACGGCCTAACTTTTCAGGACCATCTCCACCACGGAGGAATTTTCCCGTAACCCATCGCCCACAATGTCCCGGTCCCTTCGGACTATGAGACCCTTGCGCGCGCACCCCTCGTTCGCCTAATTGCATTCATACCCTTAAGACTCCCCCCACTTCCCCCAAAAATCCTTGGCACACCCCTTTTCGGACTTTCAGGCCCACACTCCACTCCGATCAGGAAGTCGCGCTGGGCGTGAGGTTGGGCGTCACAGCGGAAGGGGGTATGAGATCAAGTGAATTCTGGTACGAGGACTGAAAGCCTGGACCGACATTCCGTCTGTTGAGGGGGGAAGTTTTGGTAGTTGGCACTTTCAGTTTTGACGCCCCGCTCTTATATTTTTCCAAGCCTTTTCAGATTTTTTCTGAATTTTAGCCTATCTCATGAGGAAAGTTTTGAGAATGCCTTAGGATTTGGGGCACCTCTTGCAACTTATTTTAGGTTTTTGTTAATATTGTTATATTTATGGATCTGTGGTTTGTTTATATGCCAGAACGACGTTGGCCGGGGTCGTGGGGTTTTCCTGCAACCTGTTGATAGCAGGAGCATGAGACCTGGTAGAGACATCTGGGGATGCCTTGGCCCGGGCATTCCAAGGGAAAACCAAGGGTTGCTGTCCGTACGACGATGGTCGGAGCTGGGGTGAGTTGTGTTGCCCTGTAACCTAGCACGATGGGGGCATGAGGCCTAGGAAAGCTCGACAGGGAATAAGACAGTGTTCGAGAATTTTAGAATGTTTTATTGGGGATTCCAGGGATTCTAAGCATTCAAAGGGCTTCTGCGGCTTTCCATTTTCACTTAGTACGTATTGCTTGAGTAGCCTAGCAATAGGTTAGCAGTTATCCATGTTCTTCCTAAATTTCCTAGAATCGCTCTCATAATTCTCAGATTGTTCTTAGCCGAAGGCAGGTAATGACCCTGGTATTTCAAATCATTTGTATAATTCTATATGGGACGCTGGGCCTGGTTCCCAGCACGAGTTGCTCCCCACGAATAGACTGGAGCATTCGTCCACAAAAAAAAAAAAAAAGTTTCAGAATGTGACCGTTTTTGTTGTAGGATGCATTTTTTAGAGGAAGACTGTGAGCACGGCCTCCTATACTACCTTGCAGTATAGAAAGTTTTTTTTTTTTCCTTTTCCTTTCATGCGTGGCCAAAATAAAACTAAGATTTATGGGACTCGCCGACCCTGGGTCCCACCACCGATTTCTTCGGGGATAGACCATTACATTGTAATTTCCTAACACTGAAAAAAAAAAAAAAAAAAAAAGTCGGCCATGGTCCTCAGGGCTAAGTCCCCCTACGTGTAGCGGGGGTTTAGACTTGGTTTCAAGTCGTGTATACACGGAACCAGAACTAAATATCCCCAAGTCGAGCATGGTCCCCGGAGGCCATGGCCCACCAGCGGGGGTTTAGTTTATGCTTCATGTATTTTCCAATATGGTCACACTAGGGCCGATAGATTTTCAGATCGGATGGCAAGGAGCCATGTACACTCGAAACCAGAATAAAACCTCAACTAGTGGGACGTGGCCTTGGGGCTAAGTCCCACTAACGGGGGGGAAGGCTTGGTTTCTAGCACACCCCTACTCTTGTCATCCGATATGAACAATCCGACGCACCTTTGTGACATCTATTAAAATTGGAGGGATACAGAGAAGATTAGCATGCCCCCTAGCAAGCATGACACACATAAGGGTGAGATTCCACTGGCCAAGAAAGATTGGACTAAGCGCCTGAATCTGAATGCGTTTTATGTAGAGATCCAGAAAAGCAGAGCAATCACAATGATCTGCACATCTCCACAAACACGTCCAGATTCAAGTTTTCAATCCAATCTCTTTGCTACCATCTTCACCCGAATAGAACGCCTGGTAATTATAGATGTATTTGGCACAACTTTCAGCCCAAATACGGCGATAATTCCTGGGTGTTCTATTCGGGTGAAGATGGTACGCCCCAAATCGAGAAATGGTCTAATTTTTCAAGTGTTCATTGAGCCTAGAGAAGGTTAACATCTCCCTTGATAAGGACG